ATGCCTGCATACAAGTCCTTCGGTTGATCTCTTGAAAAACTACGTCTTCAGGCTTGGATGATTGTGTCTGACTTTAGCACAAAATTTTAGGAACTTAACCATCCACTTCCACTGTGTCCGAATGAAATTGACCAGTGAATAAGCTCGGTTCTGAAATTCAGATTGCTAAAATTACTGTGTCCACCCAAGTACTAAGCAGCTGGCTGATGCTACCGCCTCTCCAGATCACACAGACTATTCATACCAGGAGCCAGTGAGCATAGTGGCCTCTGCAGTTTTGTAAGCCTACCGGTGGATTTGGAATTCAACCCTATCTATCACTCAATTCATTCTCACTCTTCCTTTCTCTGGCGGCTCTACTTAGCATTTCAAATAAGAGTTATAAAAACCATTTTCTCTTCAAGGGTTTTTTTCCTACTTGACAATTTCTTTTAGGCCCTACATAGAGGATTTTAAACACTTTTCTTAAGCTTGTCTCTTCTTTCCCACCCATATCTAAACCACTTGGTACTATTTCTTCATTCTGTTGCCACAAAACTATTATTTCCTTTTCCTTCGCAATACAATCTAAATCCTTCAACTAACAAACACAATGAAGATAAACATAGTACAATATTGTTCTTATTAAATGGAAAAATTAAGCACATATTTCCCTGGGAGAATTTCTCACCTTTTTGCCATTTGCTCTTGAGCCTTAGTTATTTCTGTTATCATTTCACTTTGTGAGGGCAATGTCTTTAGCCCTAAAGAAAAAAAACAAAGATGTAAGTATAAAGCTACCTCAGTAGGAACAATAATCCTATTAACAATTACTGTGTTATGGAGAATTCAAAGAAATACAGGATAGTTTTCTGTACTCAAGGAGGTTAAACCTTCACTTGATCACTTTATCCTAGCACCACCATAATATAATAATATAAATTAACAACAGTAGCGTTCTCTATTCTACTTTGTCTTTGGAAGATACTCGCTTAACTCTGCCTTCCAACCGATACCTGGTTCCTCCCTAGCATAGTCTTTTCATTGGGAAATGAAATATATCCACAAGGAAAGAATAAATGGCCTTAAAAGTATATGGGAAATGAAGTACAAAGTAAAAGAGCAGGGGAACACCCCCCCCCCCAATTGTACTCTTAATAACAAAGAGGCTCTATAACCCAGGGAGAAGGAACTAAAAATTAATTTTCAATCCCATTTCATGCCTGAAGTCCTATGGAAGATAAGCCTCATCTTCTAAACTTTTTTATTTGGTCAGAATGGGGGTAAGGACTAAGGGCAACTCATAATACTCAATCCTGACAGATAAATTTAAGCACTGATGCACACAGTTCCAATAGTAGGAATTTAACATCAAGGACCTGGCTAGAAAGGTAGAATATTATGTAAGCCAATATAAACAACTCTAAGTTTAAAGAATTAGCTTTATGCCCAGATTTATAGTCACTATGCCATGTAGATCATTTTTGTCACACCCAGCCATAAGGTGTTACTCCATAAAATTCCGGGTGGTCATATATTTTACCTAACACAAGCCTTCTCTTTACAAATACTGTAATCAAATGGTTATCTCTTTCCTCCTGAAATATCTTTGCTGACGGGGACCTCATTACCTTTTGAGGAGATGATTTAATTGCGTGGCTGCTCTAGTTGCTGGAACATACTCTTTTTATGGATCCCCAAATCTACTTCCATGCAACTTGCACCGTTGGACTTAGCTCTGCCTTTTGAAGCCACGGAGTCTAATCTTATATGACAGGCCTTCAAATATTTGGAAACAACTGGCATAACTTCTTCAAATCTTATCATCATCAGCAGCGCACCAGTTCCCCACATCACAGGTTTCACATGCTCTGCCATGTTGGTTGCCCTCCTCTGGGCCCACGCCAGTCATTCTCCTGGTGTTCCTCTTAAAATGTGAGACTCAGAAATTCAACACTCAAGAAATAGACTCCTGTATTTTGCCATGTGCTTTCTCATTTGGGAACTCTTACTTATATTTGTAAGTCGATGAGGGAACACTGAAATGCTTCATTCGAGATTAAGCAGAGGTCCCTTATGATGCTTGTGAAACATATTTTGAGAGTTGATTTCCAAATTGCTTCTTATAGTACAACCATAACTTTTACTTCTATTAACTAGAAACATTATGGGGAAGGAGGTATATTTCTTGCCTTGGAGAGGCAGCCAGTGTATCAAAAGCAAAAAATTAAAAATAAAGAAAAACTTCTATATACCTATACAA